TCACCAAGTCTGTAACACCTTAGTCTGTGAAGTTTTGACCAGTTTGGGGCTGGTGCAAGTTTCTGGAAAAGGCTGCCTCTAGACTCTGGACAAGCCAAATCGTTTTTTTGTGGAGTCCCATGGGCTCTTCCTCTGGTCTCCTTCTCCCACCCTTAGAACTTCCTTTCTCCTTGGCTAGGCACAGTGGCTCACATCTGTAATCCCAACACTTTGGGAAACCGAGGCAGGAAGGATCGCTTGAGGACAGGAGTTCAAGACTAGCCTGGGCAACACAGAGAGACCCTGTCTCTATAAAAATAAAAATAAATTAACTGGGCATGGAGGTACGTGCCTGTAGTCCTAGCTACTCAGGAGACTGAGGCGGGACAATTGCTTGAGCCCAGGAGTTTGAAGCTGTAGTGTGCTATGATCACACCACAACACTCCAGCCTGGGTGACAGAACAAGACTCTGTCTCTTAAAAAAGCAAATAAAAAATTTAATCGGACCCCAAACAGTGTGTACCATAGCTCTTCGGGTGACCTACACAATCTCTAAGGCCTTGGATACATAGGTGAACATTGTTTTTCATTTTTTAAAAATTGCAGCATAATGCATGAATCATGAAATGTACCACCATAACCATTTGCAAATGTACAGCAAGGTCAAGTACATCATATTCCTATGTGACCATCACCAACATCCATTTCCAGAACTCTTGCAAAATTTTGCACCCATGAAACATGAACTCCCCGTCCCCAACTCCCCATAGGCCCTGCTAAACCCCATTCTACATTCTGTCTCTCTGATTTTACTATTCCAGATACCTCATGAAAGTGGAATTCTACAGCATGTGCCCTTTTGTGACTGGCCCATTTTGCTAAGCATCATGTCCTCAAAGTTCATCCGTGTTGCAGCATGGTCAGAATGATATTCCACTGTGTGTTTTCACTATACTTTGCTTATCCAAGCATCTATGGATGGGCACATAGATGGAGTTTCAGCTTTTTTTTTTTGTTTGTTTATTTGACTCAGTCTTTCACTCTGTTGCCCAGGCTGGAGTGCAGTGGCATGCTCATGGCCACTGCAGCCTTCACCTGCTGGGCTCAGGCGATCCTTCTGCCTCAGCCTTCCAAGTAGCTGGAACCACAGGCATGTGCTACCATGCCTGGCTAATTTTTCTCAATTTATTGTAGAGATAAGGTCTTGCCATGTTGTCTGGCTGGCCTCGAACCCATGGGCTCAGGCAATCCTCTCACCTTGGACTCCCAAAGTACTGGGATTATAGGTGCGAGCCACCGCGCCCTGCCTGAGTTTTCAGCTTTATGTTGGTATAATTTTTTTTTTCTTTCCACACGTATGAGTCAGTTGCTCATCCATTCACGTGTTTAGACATTCAGTGAGCACACATGGAACATCTACGGTGGACTGGGCTCTGTGATAAGCCTCGTGAATGATGAGAGAAATAAAACAGTATCCTACTCTCAAAATGCTCTCAGACCTAGTAGGGAGCTAGTTCTTTATCTAGGGCGCAGTGAGGACTACGCAGAGGAGGGGTGATGAATTTCTCTGGTGGAAGAGACGGGGTGGGTATCAGGAAAGGCTTCACAGAGGAGGCGACATTTGAGCTGTATCCTGATGGATGAGTGGGGGCTTGGCAGGCCAGCAGACTTGGGAAGAGCCTTCCACGTTGGGGGAGCAGCCCAGGTGTGAGGGAGAGCAGGGGTGGAGGTGGGATCAGGGGAGGCTGCAGGTATGCCAGTGGGTGGAGCACAAAGGGGACAAGGAGAAGAGAAAGATAAGGAGGAGGCCAGATTAGTGTGGGGTCGTATCCACCCTGCAAAGGGACTGTAGGTTTCTGTAAAGGAGTCAAGGCCGGAGAAGTCTCACTAGAGAAGCTTCCAGGGAGAGAGGAGTTGAAAGCATGCTTGATGTTCTCGTCCGTGGGCTGGCAGGTTTATTTCAGCAGGCGGGGTATTGGACAAAATACTTTCTGAGGTTATTACACCTGAACTTTGCGATCCAAAAATGGAGGATGAAGGAGAATTAAGTCCCTAGCTTGGGCCCAAGGAATATCTTAGAGGTGCCGACTGTGTTCAGCGGGTGCTGGTGTTATTGTCAGTAGTGAGGCGTTGGGTGACTAAGGAACACCACCTGGCTACATGCTCGAAAACCCACAAGCCCAAAAATGCCCACTCTGGGCCCGAGTGGCTAGGAAGTCAGCTCTAGTTTTCAGGCAAGGAGGAAACAGGAGACCTGTTGAATCTGGAACATTTTCCAACTGAACAGTTAGAAGCAACCTGGGCCTATCAGAAACTCAGCTCAGAGAAAGGAGGGAGACCTGAAGCTGAGTCAGAACACTGATTCAGATTCTGTTTCTCTCAGTCACCAGGTGTGTGACATGTGAAAATCTTCTTGACTTCTCTGACCTGTTTCTTATCTGTAAAATAGGAATGGACTGGGCACGGTGGCTTATGCCTATAATCCCAGCACTCTGGGAGGTCGAGGAAGGAGGATTACTTGAGCCTGGGAGTTCAAGATCAGCCTGGGCAACATAGTGAGACCTTGACTCTACAAAACAAAACAAAACAAAAAAATCAGAAAATTATCCAGGCAAAAGGAGTCACATGCCTGTGGTTCCAGCTACTCAGGAGGCTGAGTCAGAAGGATCGCCTGAGCCCAGGAAGTGGAGGCTGCAGTGAGCTGTGATCATGCGATTGCACTCTAGCCTGGATAACAGAGACCCTGACTCAAAAAATAAAAATAAAAAATAAAATAGGGATGACAAGACCTACTTATCTCCTTTTTTGTTAATAACTCAGGAATGATTTAAATAAAGATGCTCATGTAGGTCATTAGAGCTGTGAGGCATGGTCATTGCTCTGCGTCCCCTCATCTGGTGTGGACATGGGTATGCGCTGGACATGATGGATGGGGGTGGGGTGGTGAGGGAGTCGAGCGAGGACTGTAGAGGCACAGATGCGGGTGAGAAATCCCCAGTCCTTGGGTGTTGGTGGCAGAAATATATTCAGCAGCTGCTCTGGGATGTGCTGGTGATGGGGCCAGGACTGAGACCCCATGGGGTGACGGCAGTGCTCTTGTGTGGCTCTGCCCCCTGCCTGAGGAGGACGCTGCCTGGGACCTGTCTCTGTGGGCAGATGTGGCTCAGGCCACTGAGGGTGAGTTCCAAGCCCGTCAGTTCTAGGAACAGAGTGCCAAGTGTGAATTCAGGAAGGAGAGGCCAGTTCTGAGTCCTGGCTCTCCCACTCATGGTCTGCTGCACCTCATCTGTTCCAGTTTCCTTATCTGTGACTCTGAAATTATCCCTACCTTCTGATGGTCATTAAATGAAAAAGTGCTTTTTAAATTGTAACGGGTTGAAGACATGCTTGTTGGTCCTATTGCCTGTCTCTCCATTCAGGCAGCAAGGAGATGGTGCTGTCTTCACAAAAACCCTTGCAGCTGTTCTCACCAATTCTGGGTCTGTGGGGCCCACCCACTTGCCCAAGACACTTTGTAGCTCACCAGCCTCAGTTGCCCAGTATGCCTGTAAAAGCTAAGAATGTGTTATAAAGCTGCTGTGAGATTTTATGAGCCCTCTTTCCCAGGAACAGATCTTGGTGCCATGAGTCATTTGTATGTGGGGCTCAGTGCATGACGCCAGGACCAGGAGAGTAGATGGGATGGGGACAGGTGGCTTTGAGGGGTTTTAAGAGCAGCAGGATTGAGCAGTCCCAAAAGGCTCCCGCTCTGGGTGACCTTGGCTGACTCTCTTGCCACCTTGGTTGGGCCATTTAGTCTAGTCTCAGAGATGGGAAGGAAAAAGGATAAGAGAGGGGAAAAACAAGAGACAGTAGTGCCACACAAAAACTCGAAGTCAAACAGTCCCCAGCGCGGGGCTCAGCTCACTGCCTCCATTTTCAAACTGTGTGACTAGAGCAGGTCACTTACTGTCACTGAGCCTTCATTTGATCATCTTTATAGCAAGGACCATAAGTACTAAGCATATCGGACTATTCATATGAGACAATGGAATGTGCTTAGTGAGATGTCTGGAACAAAGTGGTCAATATCCTCATACTAAAATATAATAATAATTATCCTAAGGGCTAAAATTTAAATTTTAAATATTATTTTTGTGCAGTGATTAGTAAATCGTAAGTGTCCAATAAATATTTTCTGGGGCGTAAGTGAATGAATGAATGAACATGACAAACTGAAAGTGTTAAGGAAAAGGAAAAGGAAAGAAGGAAAAGAAAATCTTGTTGGAATGTCACCTTCTTCATGAAACCTTCTCCTACCCTTTCTGGCCTCCATGCCTCATTCACAATTTGAGGGTTTTTTAAGGTCTCTCCCAGCTCTCATGTTTAAAACCCTTGATTTATTACTTAATTCATGCCTTGGCCCAACATTTATTGAGCATCTACTATGTGCTCAACAGTGTTCTAGGTACTGTAAACAAAACACTCAAAGCCCTTTCCTCTTGATGCTTGCATTCTATTGGTGCCTGAGGTGAAATACACAATAATGTGTGATGAATAAATAAGCTATATGCTTAACTAGAAATCATTAAGTGCTAGGGAGAACTAGAAAGCAGGACAATGGGGTGGTGAAGGCCAGGAGAAGGCCATTTCAGTTTTAAGTAGAAGGTCAAGGTAGGCCTTCACTGAATGGTGTCTTTTCAGCAGAGACTTAAAGGAGGTGGAGTGAGTCATGCCAGATATCTGGGTATCCAGGTAGTAGGAACAGCCGGTGAAAAGGCCCTGAGGCAGGAGCTTGTCTGGCATATGAGAAGAACACCAAAGAGTACCCAATCCCATCCTCACTGACAGAGAGGGCTGAGTGAGAAATGCATTCCCCTCAGTTGACCAGGAGAGGACTCCATCCTTCTTCCTCACCTGTGTCCCCTCTCTTCCAGTCCCCACTTACCCTACATCAGTCCTGGCCAAGGCTTTCGTCTCTGGGAATAACTGGTATTGAAGAGGATGATTCTTTTTATTTTTTTTTCTTTTCTTTTTTTTAATTAACAAGCAAAATAAAACAAAAACACAACAATCTTAAAGTTGGAACAGCAATAAGTCAAATTGCTGCAACAATTCACGGATGTACCTGAGGTACATGCTCCCTTATTGAGAGGCAGGACATAGGCACATGACTGTGCATTTAGGTATATATGTGACCAAGAAGAATCAGAGAAATGGAAACCACTGGAGAACACAAAGCATCAAGAACTTTTCATCAGGCAATCCCAAAGCATTCTGCTCTTTTCCTCTTCTTTGCCTCCGTATCTGTGGTTCCAGTTCCAGCTGAACTCGTGACAATTCCAAATCGTTCCTTCTTCTTTTTCAGTCTCCCATCATCTTCAGACTTTCTGGAGATCGAAGAGACATTCAAACCAAATCTTTGCATTCTTTCCTTTAGTTTATTCAGGTTAACCATAGGTTTGGTGTCAGATGACAGACCTTTTGTTGGAACTGAAGAAATTCCAAACCTTGCTGCCCAAGCAGCTTTCTTACTCTCCAAGCTTACAGGTACATTGAATCATTCAGCCCTCTTCTGCATTCTCTCAGTCTGAGGTATTTCAGATGTAATTTTCACCACTTTCTTCTCTGCTGCCACATCAACAGTTTTTTCAGGGGGTTCTTCCTCTTTGACAGGGACTTCTATGGGTTTTGGCTCTTCTTCCTCTGTTTCATCTCCCAGTACATCTTCTTCATTCGCTTCCTCTTCGGCATGCTCTTCAAGATATACCTGGAGCCTGTTGATGAGATCTTGTTTTAGTCCCTTGGTCTCCAAACCACGAGCAAGACATTCTTGCTTTAATTCAGCAAGCTTCAGTTTATGGAGCTCCACCATCTCGGCAGCCATCTTGTTACTCCTCAGGATGATTCTTTTAAAAATGAATAACTTAAATGTTATCAACTCCTCCACTGGTGGAAATGAAACCCCAGACCTTCGGTAGAACAGGAGGATAAAGGTGTAGCTGCTAATCACACGTCTTAACCTGGAAAAAAGAAGCAGGTGAGGGAGGCGGCCAGGGCAAGGTGAAGGCAAGGGAGATGAGGCACTCTGGCCAGGCTCAGCAACAGAGAGCCAGCATCTACAACATTCTGCCTTGTGGCAGGAAGAGCACTGGACTGGGAGTCAGGACGCCTGGGCCCAGGCTGGCTTCTGCCACGTGCATGCTGTGAAACCTTGCTCAAGTCATTTCGTTCTCCAGACTTTCATTTCCTCCTCTCTGTAGTAGAAAGATGCTAAGCTTGGAAACGTCTAATATTCTCCAAGTCTAGTGCGCATGTTCTGTCTTTCCCACAAGACTATAAACTCCTAGAAGGATGCACCAGATTGTCCCCATGTCCTCAGTATCTGTATCAGAGGGAAGGTGTTTTGTGTTTTTTTTTAAACATATTTTTTATTTTAAAATTGTGGGGTACAGTTAAGAGTTAGGTATACATCATTAGGCACCCTTGTTGATAAGGGGTGTCCCCCCATCCCCAGACAGATATTGACTACCGTTAATCCCACCTCCCTTCCCCTCCCTGCCCCCACCCCATAGCTTCCCGCCATTGTCAATCCTTTTCTTATAGTATTACAATAGATGTTCAAGGTCCACTTATGAGTGAGAACATGTGATACTCAGATCTTTGTTTCTGTGAGAGATCACTCAGTATTATAAACTCTAGTTCCATCCAGGTTGCTGCGAAGTTCACGATTTTTTTTCTTTTTTTATGGCTGCATAGTATTCCATCAAGTATATGTACCACATTTTTTAAATCCAGTCTTCTTTTGATGGACAGCATGGTTGGTTACATGTTCTTGCTATTGTGAACAATGCTGCGATAAACATACGTGTGCAGGTATCTTTTTTATAGAGTGACTTGAGTTCTACCCCTATCTATCCCCATACACAAAAATTAACTCTAAATGGATCAGAGACCTAAATGTAAAACCTCAAACCATAAGAACTTTAGAAAATGCAGGACACACCCTTATGGAAATTGGAACTAGCATCCAATTCCTGAACAAAACCAGAAATGTACGGGCCATAAGAGATAAGATAGACAAATGGGACTTCATTAAACTGACAAGCTTCTGCAAAGCCAAAGAAACCATGAAGAGAGCAGGGAGACAGCCCAGACTGGGAAAAAGTATTTGCCAACTTCAGGTCTGACAAAGGCCTAACATCTTGGATCTACAAGGAACTCAAACGTGCTGAAAAGGGAAGGTGTTTGAGGAATAAATGGAGAGCTTGAGTCTGAGGAAAAGGAGCTTCCCTGCAGCCTGGGGCCTTTGTCAAGGAAGCTCTTATCAAGAGATAGCCTTAAGCTATAGCTCTTTGCGGGCTCTGGCCTCAGACATCCTGCTTGACTGAGGATTGACCTCTTCTGCCCAAGAGACCTTCTATCAAGGGGTAGTTGATGGGAAAAAAAATCAGTTTGTTTACTTTTCATTAAGTTCTCTCAAGTGGGCTGTGTGTAGTGGGGGGAAGGATGTTGGGAGCTGGTTAGACAGTGGATGGGCCCAGGTCAGTCTTTCTTCCTCTGAGAGGATGTGTCAGGCTAGTTCACCTCTCTCTTCTACCCTCCTCCTCAGTTCAGAGCCATGGCTCCACAGATGCCTTCCAGGTCCCATCCTGGGAGCCTCCAGCCTCGCTCTGGTCTCACTTGGAGTCTGGCTGTCCTAATGAAGAGGACCTATGTTCCTGCATGCGTCTCTACCCTCCTCCAGAGTGAGCCCTGCTGGCTGCGTGCAAGGCCCGGTAATCGCCCGGGTATTGATCTGTGGATGGTAATTCTGAAGCAGTCATCGGTGCTCTGTGGGAGCCTGCATGGCGGGAGTGTGGTGATTATGGAGCAGTGGCCAAGACTGCCAAGGAGTCTCTGGGAAGCTGCAGTGGTCCTCGACTCTGCATGGCACTCCCAAGGCCCGTGGACATGATGGCTTTGCTCCGTTGCTGTCCCCGGGTGCGGCGGCAGAAAGGACAAGGAACATGGCGGGGAGTTCCACTCCTACCCCTGATTGGTTGTCGAGGAAGGAGGTAGGGAGAACAGGAAGTAGCCTGGACTCTGGCTGAAGGGCCTGCTAATGCCTCTTCCCATCAAGGAGCTGAGGTGTCGTGGGTGACCTGAAAGTGACTTTTCAGGCTGGTGGGCCAAGTAAATTGACTTCCCGTGGGAAAATAGCTCCAGATGACTGGGCCACATCCAAGCGGAAAGAGCTCTTGAGCCATTGACTGAAAAAAATCATGAGCATAAAGAAAATTGTGAAACCTTGCTTCAGTCCCTTATTTACATGTTGTCTGTCCCATATAGAGAAACCCCTGGAAGTCCTGGTTCCTCTCCCTGAGAAAGGCCCCGAGAAAGTTGCAAGGACGGCATCACAGGGCCTAGAAATGTAGGTGTTCCCATGACAAGTTGTGAGACCTCTGGGGGATGCTTTACATTGTCTGAGTCTTGGTTAACTCATTTGAAAACAGGCATACTGATAAAGCAGGCCAGGACAGAGAATTACATGAGCAAGCAGACAGGGTTGCCTTATAAACCAGAAAGCACTAAAAGTTAGTGGTTGCCATTGTGTTCGCTTTTAGCAGCTACTTGTAAGTAGCACCTCAAATCAAAATGTATAATATGGAGAATTATGGCCATAGAAGTTGACCATAATTTCTATCCAGCCAAAGGCAGTGAGGGCTTAGAAGGGATCCCAGATTTGAAAGCCCCCCATTTCCTCTCCATCACAAGTCCATTCTCATCCCTTCACACCTTTCAGCTCCTAAGTCTTGGGACAAGTGACCTGACCTCTGTGGGTATCAACTACAAAATAGAGATGATGCTGGAATGAAATGATCTGGTCAGCCCTTTCAGTTGTGACTTATATAATTTACAGGATTTCTCGACCACTGCATTTCTTCCCCAGCCTGCCCTACACTTCTACTCTCCGGGGCTCTACATGTCCTTTCTCTTTGTGGCCCTCACCTACACACCCCCTTTCCTCATATGCTCTGGGCCTTCCAGGTTTTGGCAAGAGAGCTGTCTCCTTCTCCAAGAAGTGTTCCTGAGAATTCTTTAAGTGGCTGGGAGGGGGAAAGGATCTCTTGTATTTTTGGTACCAGAGATAATCAGATAATTGTGCAATTAGCAGTAATTTTATAGCTCCTGTAATTTCCTTCTAACAAGAGCCCCCTTTAAAAAAAAATAAGAGGGATTTCATTTTTTCAGTCCCTTGTTGTTGTTTTGTCTGGAGTGTCTATCCTCAGGAAATTTGGTCCCACACCCAAGATCTCGGTGAGGGGGCCTGGGGAGGGGGGTAGGGCTCCTGGGGGGTGGGGAGTGAGGAATTGAATTTGCCAGCGGGCAGCTCTTCTCTGCTTTCCCGCTGAGCACAGCCTGCGGGAGGGGACCTTGCAGGTGGAGCTGCTCTCGCCTCCAGAGACGGCTCTCCTCTCTACAGCGACTCCCTCTGACCGCCCCCGACCCCGTGCCCCCAAGTCACTGGGGAGAGACCCTCAGGGAAGGCTCCAGAGGCTGTGAGGGCGCAGCGGGTCTTCTCGCGGTGACTTGGTGAGAAGGAGCGAGGCCTTCCTGCTAGGCGTCGCGGCTGGGGTGCAGAGCGCAGCGCTCCAAGGTCCACGTGCCGGGCTTGGCTCCCCCAGGCCTAGGCCCCGGCTCTACGCCGCACTCGCGTCCCTGCGCCACGTGGCTGTGGCACAGAGGGCACAAACGCCCCGAAGGCCTTGTGCCAGGTAATTACCAAGCAAATTCCCGGCGATTTCCACGCCTCCCCCCGGGCAGTGCCTGCTGTGTGTTCCCCGATTCGGGCCCCGGCTGTGCAATCAGCGCCAGGTAACCTGCGGGGACCCGTAATTGCTCCGGAGTTGCCTGGGCCTTTGCAAGGTAAGCACGCGCGCCGCTGCTCCCGGGCCTGGGTGCGCGCGGGAGCGCCGCGAGCCCGCCCGCCCTGGGCCGCATGCCGGCGACCAGCGGAGGCGGGGGCTGCGGGGGGTCAGCGGGGTGAGATCCGACTCCACGGAGTGAGAGGGCCGCTTTGCGCTAATGGGGGCGGGTGGAGGAGTCTGGTGCAGAGACGAGAGAGCGAGGGCAGACGGGGGCGACTTGTGCCAGGAGAGGGGCCATCTCGCCGTGCCTCCGGGGAGGGGGACCTTGGGGGACAAGGGATCCTCCTGTCCCTTCCCTCCGGTGGAGAGGCGCCTCATTGATGAGCCTTGTCATCCTCCTTCAAGTGTAATTTTTTTAAATTGCAAAAATCTTACAGAGCTATTAACCTCAAAAGAGTTTAACATATGGCAGACCGAGTCTCCCTCTTACCCTAATTATAAGGCTTGCAGTAATGGGGCTGTCTTTTAAGTTACAGCTGCTGCGCTTTTGGCTTTCGCTAACATTACATCCTATTAAAGAGCTACATTAAATGCATGCAAATTGCCGGAGCGACCGCGCTCTCCCGACCAATGAGGGGGACGGATTGCAGCCGAGGCGGCGAGATCGGGGTCAGACTCACCCCGCTGCGAGCGCCATATGATCCATCAATCAAACTCCTCTCATTAATTAACTAATTCATTAAATATCTTTATATATGAAGGCCCGGCCAGGCGGAACATTGTGTTGACAGGGACGTCCCGTCAGCACTTAGCCCTGCGCTCCCCTCCCCCTCCCCTCCCGCACAAACCACCCGGCGACGAAGAGAGGTCCGCTTCCCTGTGTCTGCGGGCTCGGGCGCAACCACCGTGCCCGCTCCTGGGGGCGCCCCTCGCGGGCTCCTTCGGCCCGACCCCCACCTGTCCGGCCTCCTCCTGGCGGGCCTGCCCTCTCTCACCAGAAGGTTGTCCTAATGAGCAGTGCGTGTATCTGGTGCCTTGGCTCCC